AAAAAAAAAAAAAAAGAAAACTACCGACATTTCATCATTTAATAAGTATACACGACATAATGTATATATTTTTTACGATGATAATTTTTGTTAAACAAATTTAATGATTTACAATATTAAAATACAACAATAATTATCTTATGACACGTATACGTTAAAGTGATAGGTAAGAGTCAGTCGAGTTCTTAAAATTAAGATAATATACATAAATATACATAAAAAATATTAATACATCTAAGACATGTATAAATTTATAATATACGTAAAACAATAATACATAGGTATCGTTATAAATATTATCAGAATTTACGATTGGGTTCGGGGAGTTCTACTTTTTTGTTGTTATGATACAACTAAATGACATAGGTTATTTACTTAACCTTTTAAATTAGGCGATACTTCCACGGTTATTATTAAATAATAATTATGTAACGTTGCAGTTTATATATGAACTTATATCACGTCAAAAAAAAAAATATGATAAAACCAAAAGATGGAAAAAAGTAAAAGATTTATCTATTGTAGGCAGTAATTAATATTATATGCCATATCATCCAACCGACTTCTAACAATTCGTTAATTATTTTATTACAATTTTAAATAAATGATTTATTAAAATTATAACATATTTAAACATGGAGTTTATGCTTCATTCGTATGTTTAAACTCCATCTGTTTGCCTCTTTATCGGTGTAAAAAAAATAGATGAAAATAAATATTTTTAAAACTAAGTAAAATTAAAATTTATTGTTAGTAGAAGTAATTTGTTAATAGTGTGAAATGTGTTGGGGGTCTATGGTGGGACTTTGGGGGGTCTGTTGAGGGACAGGCAAATTTATGTGGGGGGGCTGTGGGGGAGCTGAGGAAAAAGTTTGATAGCAGCAAATCAACGATAAAAACGGTCGAATTTTCGCTTATTTGGGGGGCTGTGGAGGGTCTTTGGGGGGACTGTGGGGAGGATGTGTGGAATGCCCCACACAAATATCTAAATAATATAAAGATATATATATGTATATGTACAGGGGTGATTCTGCCGCAACTTGCTCAGATTGACTTGACAAACTTTTAAAAAGAAGTTGGTTTAGTCAAATTTTTTCATGGTATTTCTCCTGTACATAACATCAGTAACAAATGTCTGAAGCGATGCAACTATAAAATTTGCTGGACAAAAGTTATACGAAATTTTATTTAAGGTATTCTTCATCGACTTTCGGAGAATTGTATCAGTTTCCAGCACGTGTAGCTAACTTTCTTTAACAATAAAAGTGTTCCTAATGGCTTAATTGAAAGTTGAGATCAAGACCTATTAATTAAAAAAATTTTTATCTCGATTTTGAGCCTCCGTTCAAATGTTACAGCTGTTTTAATTGAAGCGTAAATTTCGCTAATAATGTAATTTTGGCTTAAATTCAGTATTTTTTTCTAAATCACTATAACTTCCAATTTGGGGCATAAAATTAAAAAAATTTGTGTTTTAATCATTACGACTATGTTTTTTCTTTTATTTAATCCTAGATAAAGCCACCTAATGAAATGCACTACTTGGCTACTAACGTTCGAAGTAGCACCACCGCTTTTGCATTTATGTAGTGAAGTGAGGCCAATTGGAAAAAACTTCGAGACACGTGTCTCATTTTCTGGCCCAACAGTGATGCAAAAAAAGTTTGGCTGAGATTAATTGCTCTAAAACGAAAAAAAACGGTACTTTGAGGTGAGGTTGGGTCAGAATGGAAAAGTTTGGAATGAGATTTTCAAAGTTTAAAGTGCTTGTATGACTCATAGACGTTTACAATGACTTGTCAACTCATTCTTTATTACTAAGCCTTAAATGCAATAAGGAACTGTAGTCTTCGTAGCTGCACATGCACATCGAGTGGTTGTTCCTATTTGACTCCAATTTGTCCTTAAATGATCAGTTATTTTAATGAAGGAATTAATATATTGGTATAAGATAATATGTTAAGTAAAGTTGACAACATGCAACATAAATTAACGTTTTTATAGTCTTGGATTTCATAACGGCACGTGAGTATGGGTACTGGACACGATTTAAGCAAGTTACAGCAGAATCACCAACATATATATAAGCACTTGATAAAACTGACTGATCTAGACACTATGTTTTCAAGATGTATACTTATAAAGATTGAAATCTCATACAAAAATTAATCACAAGTTAGTAAAAATCTGTATATATGAGCATTTTGTTTGCAGAGTGTCAGCATAAGTTAAAATACTCATATACACTAGCAGGGCTTCGTCCCCTCTGCAACGTTTGCGCTAGCTCCTACAATAATTTATCATATCATAATCATAAGGGTGATAAATTTTTAATATAGTAAAACTACGATAAACATCGCTCTACTATTCAACTCCTTTCCACATTCAATAATATGCCCCGTCAGAGATGAATAGAGGGATTGCTGACTGCAATGCTATGACACGAGCTCACTTTTTTCCTCTATTTCGAGCGCCCCGTGGTGGCCAAGTGGCGGAACTAGGCACAAATATTTTTTTTTTTTTTTTGAGAAGCAAGGAGGGGATATGCCAAGTGTGCGCCTACGCATTTGCGTGGAAATGGACATCTAGACGCATACTTTATAGGCGTATAAAAGGGATGAACTAAATGTGGGTCTACAAAGAGAGGAGAAAAAATCATGACAATACTACAGCTTCATAGCTATGAACGCTCAAACTTTCAAGGCATTTATATTTTTATTCTCCTTGTACTTTGGATTTTCTTATAATATGGTATATTAAAGAAAGTGCGCTTAAAAATTTTTAATATAAGCCATGTTTAGAAGTTGACAGTATGGCTATAACCACCATAATTACAATTTATTACTTTTACTTATCATAATTGCTATAAACTGTTGGCTAAGCTCTGGAGGTTATCAATGAACACAAATATATGACTTCGGATTATACGATGTCAAAAATTTAGATAGCTGAGGTGGCTATGGCTTATGCCACTGTATAGATAGTTTCGTAATCTTATCTGGGATTTGATTGGAATTGCCGTCAGAATTTTTTTTCCTTTTTTGTTTAACTTAATTTATCATTCCGTTTTAATTTCTTATCATAACTTTCGTTTTAATTCATCAATGTTGTCAATTTTTTGCTATCGGGTACATCGAAATTATCACATTTTTAGTACTGAGTATTTTAAATGATTAATTTTGTTTATAGTTCTACTTTACAAGGCTTCTCCATCCATTTATAAGACTAAACAAACGATTTTTAAGGATGTGGAATAAATTTCAATGTTTTAGAACATCCAAGAAATTATGAA